CACCGGCATTTTCGGCAACGAGCTGGCCGACCAACTTGCGAAGCATGGCGCGACGCTACCCACAGACGACCATCTGCCATCTGTCTCCTACAGGAAAAGACAGATGAAGAAGCAAATCACGATCGATCACCGAGCCTGGTGGGCATCGGTTGAAAGGACGGAGTATCAGAAGTTCGGACTTAGTGCCGAGCTTAAGAAACTTCCAGAACTCAACCTCCCCCGCCGCGTGCTTGGCTATCTCCTGACAGCACGATCACAGCACGGCGACTTTGCGGAATACCACGAGAGATTCCATCCTGGACAGGCGACGCTGGAATGCCCTTGCGGGCGCCAGAAGTCGCCCACCCATCTTTTCTACTGTAGAAAAATCCCTGGCCATCTCCGGGTTCGGCTTACACCCGACCCAGAGACTGCAATCGGGAAATTCCTCGGTAGATCCTACAAGGTGTTCGTAGGCATTGCTGACTTCTACTATTCGAAGATCAACAAGCGCACGTAGCACCGAGTAGGGCGTACAAGCTTGGCGCGTTCTGTACAGTATCTAGCCCGAGTAGTTCACGCTACTCGTTAAACATCTTCTTATTTCCTTTGTTTCCGGCGATACACGCCACCGACAGCAGGGCTCCCGCTGGTCCCCGTAAAAGACCAGGAGACAACAGTTGTTGGCGCGACGCGCCCGCGGCTGCAACCGCGGGCGTATAACACCAGCATCATCGTGATCCCGCTGACGGGTACCGATTTAGACAGACAGATGCCATCAGGCGCGAAACTGCTACAGTTGGAGGATGATGACAGGAAAAGTATCCCAGGGGCAACTAGTGAGAACTTGGGCGCGACGCGCCCGGTTGGGGCCCACTTAGCGGGTGCGACTGTATATTTATCCGTAGAAGGCTCGATAGCACGTCCTAAAGCCTACTCTAGGGCGCAAACGGACGTAATAATCAAATCAAATCAAATCAAGGAGCTACCCCGAGCCGCTTTAAGCAAACTGAGCATCCCTCATTGGGCTAGCATCAACAGACCCCAGCCTAGAGGCTGAACCGCGTACAAAAATCGCCGACCATTGACCCTGATGATGCGAATTGGTACAGTGCTGCGTACATCATTCGTGTGGATAAGACGATTGCTCGGAGTAGCTACTTTTGCCGCTGCACTCGCTGGGGGAGTGAGATGCACAAAGCTTCGTCAGGAAAGGAGAAATCATGTGAAGCAATTACTTTCCGCTGATCACGCGCTGACGCATTGAGTGGGCGATTACTGCAACTTGCATGACCACTTTCTCGTTCATCAGCTCGCCAACAACTAGTTTTGTCCTATCCCCGCCCCTCCCCCCCCCCTCCCCCCGCAATGCAATACACAGCCAAAAAAGGACGATTCATAGCAATAGAACACCAACTCAATCTGTTGCAACGAAAGCGCAAACGTTTGCAGCAACTAGAACAGTGTCAGCTTATGGCTGGCGCCTCGCGTGCAGTAGACCGCAATGGCACCAGGCTTGCGCGCGGCTCACGCTTCGGCTTGGAGAAGGGCTGGCTTGCAGCTGAGGAAATGACCGAAGAGAGCCGCACAGTCAGTTTTCGGTTGAGGGCGTTTACATCTGCGCAACGATGCAACCTGGTGCATGCTGCAGAGTATTGCCTAAAGATCTTAAAAGAAAACATGGTCTCAATATTAATATTGCATCAAGTACGTACTAAATTTTCAACAGAATTCTCCCTCTATTAATATCTGCCGACACTTTGTTCGTTGACTGATATTTTATTGTATTATAGCACTATTTGGTCCCTGAGCTAAGTTTCGTAGAATAATGCACCTGTAAGGTGTTCTGCGACCGCCCTGGATACTTGTCTGTGAAACACTTGTGGATCTCCTTCCATGAAAGTCTTTGGCCCTTCAATTGTCTGAGTAACCTATTTTGCTCATCAGTAAATGCCACTCGCGTACGTCCTCCCTTTGCTTGAATTGGGTCCGACATTTTGCGGTGATCTGTTGCCGCTTCTCGAGCGCTCCGAAGAATACTCTTCGGCGCCGCTTCTATTCGATAGCCACCAGGGGTGCGCATAGCTGTCTGTTTTCCTCGCAGCACCGCGCCATGGTGACGTGCATCGGCATACGTCGGTGTCATTGATGGACGATTTCGGCGGTTCGAATTGTTGTCTGAGGACTGATCACTGGATCGGACAGAAGGCTGGTATTGCCGGGCAGTCTTGGTGCGGTCGCCATCGCTGGCCACGTCGGTTTGGGTTTTTGTATCAGCAGGAGAAAATCTTTGCAGAAGCAGGCTAGCGCGTGGGCGCACTACAGTCCGTTCTCTCCGATTAGGCTGCTACTGTGTGTTAGCTATACTGCTACCATAACACTGTCGTTGTTGGAGTGGAGGGAACGGTATGAGTGGTGCTGTACCTACGTTTTCGAATGTGCTGGCGCGTGGTACACCGCTAAAAGAGCCATTGCCCGATGTCACAGGGCTTTGCTTCTCCCCTTCATATTCTGACGATGCAACTTTGGACGCATGGTAGCTTGTGGGCTTTTGTCGCTTGCTTGGTCTGCCATTTTTGTCATCCGCATCATTAGTCGAGGCCGTGTAGTTGCGTTTATGGGCCTGTGTCGACAAGGGCGAGTATCCTGCATAGGACTTTGTACGGCGACTGGCTGAATCTTCTCCGCGTCTCATGGCCGGCTCAAGTCTCTGTCGCTTGCTTGACCTGCCATTTCTGTCGTCCACATCATTGGCTGAGGCCGTGTAATTGCGTTTACTGGCCTCTGCCGTCGCGGGCAAGTATCCTGCATCGCATCTTGAAAGACGGTTAACTGACATTTCTCCGCTGGTTATAGCGTGCTCAAGCCTCTGTCGCTTATTTGTATTGTGGCTATTTCGATCCGTATGATCGGCGGAGTGTCCCGATTTCCGGCTGTCGTCCCGAGCCACGAAGATCGAG